ACATGGAACATCGATTATGTTCTTGATAGGCATTTTTCCACCCTTCTTGCTGCCGGCCCAATCTAGTCCATAGCTTATGTTCTATCCTAGTTGTCAGACGTAACTCGGGCAGTTTAAAATATATTTATTGCTTTTTCCAAAGATATTGCTGCGGGCCGTGTAACTGAGGTTATTAGGTTGTCGGCCGGTGTTTTCGAATTCTACCGGGGCCGCAGAATCTTGCACGATTGCTTTGGGTGAATTTTTCATACCTACCAAAAAATGATTAAGCAAACCTGTTAGTTGTGGGAAGAGTTTTAGATTGATTAATTACGGAATCTTACTTAAGCAGTCAGTATAATGTATCAAACTTGTGCAGTCCATACGTTGCAGTGGGTTGGTCGCATAACTAAATATGGTTCAACTCTGCGCTCTCGAGTAGGACCTCGTAACTTAGATGGTTATAATATTGGCTGTACTAAAGCTTTGCCCTTTTTGCCATGCCTTCGAATCTCGCTGCCGATTTTTTTCACAGTTAGGTCGGAATAATTGACGTTTTTTGTAAAACAAACAATGCTTTAAAATTTCTGCACGGCCTTATCATACTTTTGGCTTTAACCTTTTGTGGTTCTTCCTGTTAGAGTTTGACGATAGTTTTAATTGCGGACCTAAAAAATCCTTTGCATCTTTTTCAGGCTGCTAAGTGTCATACCAAGACCTTGATTCACATTTCCGCTCCGACAGAGCATATAGATTTGCGGCCGCCACTAAAATGCACAAGAACAATATGGCAACCAAATCGACATCTTTACTTTGTCACCTTTCAGAATTTGTTTTTACCTCAAGTACTCTTTTTTGCTTGTCTCTTTTAACGATTCTTGTTTTTGGGGAACTTAAAAAAATCAGTTACTTCATATATGTCCTTCACCTTCTAATGTCGTTCATACTCGTCTAGGGTTTTGGCACTGCCATGGGAGAACTGCCTCCTTACTTTATGGCCAGGGGTGCCAGGCTCGCCAGTAACGTTCAGACCGAAGAGTTTGAACTGACCGGGAAGCCCTCCTCTTCATCCTCGGAGACAGAAGCCGACCCGCTAGCAAACGGCAATACCCAAGCCTCAACATCTGCCACGAAGCCTCTTTCTAGATATCAGCGCCTAGAAATGCTTTTGCAAAAAATAGTCCTACGGGCTGGTTTTTTCGGAATAGTTCTTTGTGCTTCCGTGAGTGTTCTCTGCTGAATTATGGTTTATATTTGTAGTGTCGTTTAGTTTTGCTTGCGTGTTTTTGCACGTTTTATTGGCTGATGTTTCTTAAAGTATGATGCATGACTTTCGTAATATTTTCGATCTTAGTATATTTCCTAAATACTTCATTTTCTTTTTAATGTGTGTGTCACATCACATAAGTTGTGCTCAATCGTTAACTGACAATCTCGTCTGGCGCACAAAGCTTTTTTCCTGATTCTCCTTATAATAAGCTTTATACGGCTTAATTTTTTTCTGTTTTGTGAAAAGAATAACCCCTTAAACATAGAACTCCGTTTGCCAACTTAGATGCAACAGGCCACGTCAACCAGTCATAAATAATATAACGTTATCCGACCGTCTAACTTGCCGCGTTAGCAAATTATTCCCTTAGTTCTTGAAACCCTTGCATCAGTCGTTGAATGGGCAAGGACTCCGGGAGTTTGCCTTGTTGTTTGGAGGTCCTGACGCCTTAACAGACGCTTTCTGTCCTTATATTTAAATCATAGCCACCTCACAGGTCAAGTACATGATTCAAGGTCAATGCTGAGTGAGTGAACTCGACTGCTACTCAATTCTAGGAGATAGGAAATGAAAAATACAAAGGGTTGAACTGCACACATCTCAAAGCCATACGGGAAAGCTCGACATTCACACGTTCCGATTTTGGCTAAATAATTAAACTCCATCGCTGATGGCTTTGCTTAGGTATGAAATTACGACAAAGTGCTCTCATAGGGAGGAACAGTCATTATTTGTGAACTTCGTTGATAACTCTCTTGTTAACCTAGGTCACATTCAACGCGGATCCGAAATATCAGATGTCAACTACAACCAGCTTCGGCGTGCTCGAACCGTTGCAGGTCGTTGGTAAAGATCTGAACCTCCACGCCATGTGATCACTGTGATTCGACAGAAACCAGCACTAACCAATCATGATTTCGCATTTAGACCTGTTTTCCGCCGTTAGTGATTCAAGAAAGTTATGTTGCAAGTGATATATATTTGAGCCGAATTTGCGCTTGATCGGCCAGTTAGAAGACAGGTTCACCAGCCACCTAACTTGATATGTGCTCGCCTACTGGCAGTATGACGTCTGTTTCGTTCGGTTTGTCATGACTAACCACCACCATCACCACTAGCTATGTTTCTTTTGTGGACATTTTTTGCTGTTGTACCCCGCTATCCTACCTTTTACCTGCCTTTCGTTGCCCCAATTCAAATGACAATTCCTTCATTTCTCAGAAATAGAGTTGCATGTAGTGACAGTCTGTCAGGTGAAACAGAGATGTACTCTTGATTTACTGAAAACTATTGTGGACGCCTTACTGACATCTGACGAGGCTGTGGATTCATGTCGTTTTTTTAAAACTATGTAATCGATTAATTGACACCCATAACTTCGAATAAACCAGTGACCTGGCTTCTCCTATCATTGTCCAGTTAACACATTCTACGCTTTGCAGCATAGCGAAAGACTCCCAGGAGTTTGGATTGAAAACAACCACAGAATTGAAAATGCTGTTTAGTGCAATAAGTGTCCCTTGTTTGTTGTTAGAGAGAGAGATTTGAGATGGCGAATCATTTCGTCTCCCTTGAGCTGTCATTGCTCACGGGGCAGTCGTGTGCTTGTGAAATTCGGTGTTGCGTGCCATATGTTTGCATTTGCGGTCGGTTAAAGGTGTCTTCTCACTCTCATCAAAAACGAAATGCATGAGGCTGTACTCAAAATTAACGGCTGCAAAACGTGATCACTGCGTTCTGCTGTCCTATATTATACCATGAAGGGTTTTGCCCCCTGGCTCCTCCGGGTAACACTACAAATGGCGGACCACATCTCAAGCCTGCAACTTAATTGCCAATGAAATACGTTTGCTGCTAGTAACCGCTCGGCCGGTCAGGTCCTCAATCCATTTATCTCGAGGATAAACTTTTCCGTAACGCTTTCTTTCATACCTCGGCTCGAAATAGTGCTACTACAGGGCCTGGCTACGTACCGCAGAACATGTGTTCTGCTGGTTTACTAAACCCTTCTGATACCAACATGACTGACTGTAAGGGGTAATGTTAGCACATCACTTCCGGTTTTTTTTATTCAC